TGACGCCTCTATTATATATTGTCATTAAGTTAACATTGAAATGTACTCTAATATTGTTAATATTATTTGCAGGTGGAGCGTTATTAGTTTCAGAACTATTTTGTATTAATGAATAGCGTTTCAGGATGTTATTTTGTGCCGCATAGGCTACGTGACGGCTAGCGTTGCCGTCCATTATTAGCGAGGAGAGAGACAGTAGATCACAATGCGAGGCGTCGGACGAAGAAGTACGAAGTAGACGGAGACGAGTAGTTGTACAGGGCCGTAAGGGCTCCGGAGGCATAAAGCGCGGCGACGAAATCGGCAAAGGACCAAGAAACGGGAGATGTCGACACTCTGAATCCTCCAAAAACCGGAGCTCCCTGTGGCGTCTCGTGACCGCGACGCTAAAAGATGAGCCCGAACAAGCTCATCGATCAGAGAGAAGGATGCCGAGCGGATCGAGGCACACCGAATCAGGACCCGTGTCGATGAGTTGCCGATACGCACGTCGCCGCTGTCACTCGCGACTCCGTGAAAAGAAGATCATGATTGGCTCATTACCTGGAGCGACGAGTGGCGCACGGCCGCGAGAGAAATTACCGTACCGGCGAGATTCATTGTTGTGCGCGCCGTGATACTTGCAAGTTCACCGCCTAGGATAAGTGCCGAGTGACAGTGTGTGCCGGAAGGACGAGAACCTGAGGAGGACCCGAGCGACCTTGTGAGGACGTGATAGGGCCGAAAGTTGCCAAACTGTACAAGCGAATTGCAGGAATAAGGTGTCGACAAGCGTAAGTGACTACTCGCTCGCTCCCTCCCTCTCTCTCTCTCTCTCTCTCTCTCTTTTTTTTTTTTTTGATGAGGGGAAATGCATTATGCACCCCCGCCCCTGGGGATAGGGCGGGGAGTGTGGGACTCTCACCCACTAAAACCCCCCAATGGCCTCCACAAATCCTTTGGGGGAGTGAGTGGCAGCCTTGCGGCTATTCTTCACCTCACTCCCCCTGTCTGCAAACCTTAGACGGCTCCCTACCGCGGTACTATCCGCTGCACCGAGAGGGGAGGGCCATAGCTCTCCTCACCGGTGCCCCACCCTGGGGATTTGTGCAATGGCCCCGGGAGTTCCCCAATTTCCAAAACCAAGTCCCCGCCCTCCGTGACCAAGTCAGAGAGGGTTCAAACCAAACCTACGTTCGGTCTCAACCCTTGACCAAGCGGATCCACTCCCATAATGGAGGAGGACCCGGGTCCGGGGACCATGGCCGGCCATGATCCCCCCACCCCAGATTCCCCAGAGGGAACTAGTCCCCCAAGTCCAACTAAAAGTTGGACTTGGAGGATTTCGGACCCGGCCGTTGTTGTGCCGGCAAGAGAGACAGCCTCGGCTTGTCTCCCCCCCTTCTGTCTCTTCGGGGAGGACTCTTTAGTCGAGTTCCCCCCCGAACCTGGCACCTTGGTAGGTGCCCGTCTTGACAGGCGGGGGCCTGGGGTCTTACGACTCCTGGTCCCGCTCTCTTCCTTTGAGAGCCGAGGGGAAGATGATCCCTCCCTCCTCTCCTCGCGCTTGTCCTCCTCCGAAGAGGACTCGCACGTCGCCATCTCCACCTCCATAAGTTGGGAGACTGCTCCCATCTCAGAGGCGTCACGTGTCTCCGCGCGAGTGGGTCGTGAGGGGGGACCGGAATCACCCCAGCCCTCTCCATCCTCGGGCCACAAAAACCCGAGCCCCTCCGCTGCCTCCTCCGTGGGGAAGACGAGGTTTACACCTTCCCCGTCCTCGCCTCCCACCGGAGAGAGCTCTTCTCTCTCCTTCTCCTCGGTGGCAGGGGCCCGGGTCCCTGCCTTCTTCCTCTGTTTGGGATGATCCGCCTCTTGCCTCGGGCCACCTGCGGGTGGAGCCGAGGAGAGGGGGCGACTTCCAGACCGAGGGGCCCCCTTCTTCTTCTCCGGATAGGGGAAACAACGCGCTCCCCTCATCCGGTGGTTGCTCGGCTGACCCCGGCTCTCACAAAGGAGGCACTTGGGGTCAGCCCCACACAGCAGGGCTTGGTGGCCCTCCCTCCCGCAGCGGTAACATGCAGCGCTCCGGTCCGCACCCGTGCAGGTACGGGCAACATGCCCGTACTCAAAACACCGGAAGCACTGCATGCGCCGCGCTTTCAGTGGTTCAATGGGGAGGGAGAACCACCCCACCGAAACCCTACCAACTCCCACTACCCGCTTTGCAGCGGCCAAAGGGAGACGGGCCCAAAGGGTCCCCAGGCCAGTAGGTGAGGACCGAATAACACCGGTTCTCACCTCGGTCGCCGAGCATCCGCCTGCAGAAGCTAAAGCCTTTGCAACCTCCTGCGGGGAAAGAGGAAGGGCAACGTTCCTCACCCTAACTTCCCCGAACTTCACCGGGCGGGTGAACTTCACTCCCGGTTGATCTTTGAAGGCCTCGGATACCCTTTTAACAAGGGCATCCGCCTTCATCGATCCTCCGGGCCCGGGGATCTGTAGTAACAGACCCCCGTTTGCAGCCTTTTTAACTCGGAGATCTGATATCCCCACCTCCTCCAGCTTCACGGAGGCCGCCGCCTTCCTCATTGCCTCCGCGTAGCTGCCCCCCGGCTCGACGGTGAGGAGCACCGCCGAACCCGCAGGGGTGCGGCCCAACATGGCCGTGTTGGCCTTCTTCTTCTTCCCCGCCTGAGCCGCCGGCGTAGCGGATACAGGCGGGGGAGGTCTCGTCGCTGGAGGGGGTGGGGCATTTCCCACACCTCTCCTGCGGCCCCGTCGCCGCACCACAGTGGCCCACGATTCCGTGGGCCGCGTCCCATCTCCCCTCTCGGGGGGAGCAAAACTTTGGAGGAGGGAACGGACCTCTCCCCTGACGGAGGAGAGGAGCTTCTCCTCCAAGTTCTTTTCTATTCGCTCCGCGAGGAGCCTTATACATCGCTCCTCGGGAGCCTCATCCTCGGCAGCGGGTTCCGGGATTAAAGTCCCCTTCTCCATCTGCACCCCTTGAGAGCCCGTCCGCGGCGGCGGGGTCGTCGCCATCGTCGCATGCGGGGCGAACGCAGATCCACCGACCTGCGTCCCGCAGTGCGCCGTCTCCTTTCTCGACGGGCCCACGAGGGAAAATCCCTTCTTGTAGGCCTCGTCGAGCATTTCGCGCATCTTTTTGTATCGGGAGGACAAAATCCTCCCCGACTCCTTACTTATGCGGAGCTTTTGCTCCAGGGTCCTGACGCGCTCATCTGCGAGCGCGTCAGGCCCGGCCAACTCCGGCCTCGCTGCCTCCCCCGGTATATACGCGAGGGCAATAATGCCCTCGCCCAGCCCCTTTATAGTGGCCGCCACGTCTTTCAGAATCTTCACGTAGCGACCGCAAAGGTTCTTCGACGTGGTGGCCACCTTCATCACGGCCTCCGCGGCTGCGTGCGTTGTTTGCACCATCTCAGCCGCAGAGGCAACAGGGCACGAGAGCCTGGAGGACGGTAGCTGACTGGTTTTGCTCCAGCTCCCATCCTCCAGCTCCATAACTGCCTCCGCTCTCCTCGCGTCCGAGGCACGTTTCTCGGCCGCGACTATGCCAAGAAACTCGGCAGCAGTCGGCGGTCTTCCCCTGCCCCTACTTGTGCCGGGGGCCGGCGTGGAGGCGTCTACGTCTACCTCCATGTCCGAGCTCTCAGATGGAGGTGGGGACCCGGACAAGCCAGCGTGTGTTGGGGAGCGAAAACGTTCCCTCGCCGGCTTCTTCTTAGCATCTCCCCCAGGAGGAGCACCAACGGCGCTACCCTTCGTGAGGGAGACGGCCGCCCCAAACATGCGTCGCGCTCCAAGCGCGAGCACATTGGGACGCACCCTCGCAGTAACATCTTCGCCCCCCACGAAGGTTTCGCCCCCGCCCACGCCTGCGGTGCAGGCGGAGGGTAGCCCATCTCGGGATAACGACATGGGGGTGCCTGGGACGGCAACACCCCCACGCCGGGCCCTGAGTGTCCGATCACTCTGGGCCGGTAAGTCTCTATCGTCTTCGGAACTACTCATCATAAAAATAGAAGTAGTGGTTTAATTTCGGAGTTTTCCTTCTCCTAGGCCGGTTGACATCCAAGTCTGACGAGCCCGGCCTGCCCGGATTTGAAGTCAGGGTTTACTCCCCTATCCCAGTTGTCCCCGTTTTTGGGGGCTAACGGAGCTGAGAACTCCGGGTTTTTGTTCGAGGTTTTCCTTCCTCTATTCCCACTCTTAGTACGGGAGCTCGGTGAGGGGCCCTTCCGAGCATGGGTGACCCTACCAGGGACTTAACAGAGTCCCCGCCGGCAAGGCCCCCTCACTTCACCGCTCCCAAGCCCGGCCACCACGACAAGGTGGTGGGAAATCGGTCGGGTCTCTCTCTCTCTCTCTCTCTCTCTCTCTCTCTCTCTCTCTCTCTCTCTC